TGAGGGGATTTTCAATTGAAGTCATTTCCAGGATGATGAAAATTAAGAATGATTTTCACTATCTCCAGGCTAATCAGGACTACAGGGAGAATTGAAATTTCAGATCTAGATGCCAGTTGAAATCTGGAGATTCCTTTTGTAGAGACTTCATGAGACTTTTTGGATGACTGAGATTTTATGCTAAAAAAAAATGGGAATGGTGTGTCTTGCATGACTGTCAGTTGATCATTTTTTCAAGTAAGGAAAATAGTGTTAAGAAGTAGACAACATCCATTGTGACCTTGCAGTAAATGGAAGAGAGGGAGCTGGGGGAAGAGGTAAAAGCATTTTGGCAAGTGAGGAATCTGTTTTGAATCTTTGTCTTGGATCAAATCTCTGTTAGACTTCAGTTCAGTGAGACTGAGTTCCCAGGTAAACATTAGTTTGTAATGTTATAATGAATGAAAATCCTGTTACTTTTAGGTCTTTCTGGCTTTTTCCCTCTGCACCCGATGGTGATCACAAATGCTGAGAGGCTGCGACGGAAACGGGCACGAGAAGTCCTCTTAGCGGCTCAGAAACCAGATACAGAGTCTGCAGAGACAAAAGAGAGCTGACTTCAGTGAACATAGCAGTGGGAACAAACTTGAAGTCCTCTTAAAATATTTGTGCAGAATTCTTAGTTTTATTATATTTGGAGGTCAATAAATGGAATTTTTTAAGTCATCCATGATCATCTGGCCTGATCTGAAGAGAGCCCAGGGAGAAGTTTGCTCTTGACTGACATAAAGCTGGGTATAGATACTAATTCTTTCAGCCTTCTTCAGGGGAAAGACAGTGGCTGTGGGGTAGGTTGGACTCTGGGTCCCTTGGGCAACTTTATAGCCTACCACCTTCCAAGATTTCCTGTTTCAGAGTCCCCAACCAGCATGTCTGTGTCCTCTCCAAGTATTTCTATCTTTAATCATTTATGGTCATCCCACTAACTCAAGAATACAATTACTTTACTTACTGTTTTTGTAATTGCAGATTTACATTTTCTAGTCAACACACAATCTCAGATTTACAAAGGTAGTTTGTTACATGCTTTTAGGCTCTAATAATCTACTTTTTAAAAAATGAATAACTGGAAGAAAGTAAAGTACCTATGTACAACTTCGATGCAAGGTTATTTGTGAGAATTCTAAGGCATCATGAAATTAGGTAGGATTGTCTCCAGTTTATCAGTGGGGAAGCTGAGGTTCAGAAGTAGAAAATCAGCCAAGGCCACATAGTTTTAGTATTGGGCAGAACAGAGTCAGACCCCGATGCTCCTACCTGCAGAGCCCTTTCCAACATGTTATGTTTGTAGTGGGGGTAGTGAGTAAAGACAAAGGGCTTTTCAAAAGTCCATTTAAAAAGTCAGTGACAAAATTAGGTTTGGGTATCATGGTTTGTTAATATAAATCACTGGTTGTGTCCCCCAAAAGCCTGTTATCTGTTCCACCATCACTGTAGCAGCATTAGATGGCTTTAGTCACTCTGAATAATATAAATTTCATAATCTGGTGTAAAACTAAAATATGGGAGATTTATAGAGGAGATTCTAAAGCCATATCATTGTACCAGCCTATTCTCAGTTTTATATTCTGAGAATAATTGCCAGCCACCTCAAACTCAGGTCATCAAGGCTCTCTGAGTTGTCACTGGTTGGCCTCCACTTGCTTTGGGGAGGCTTTAAAGGCAGGACAGGCAGAGAGCAACTGACTTTATGGGAGTTTGATCTTGAATCTAGGAAAAAGAAATGTTTTGAAAACCATTTCAAAGTTTAAAGAACAGTCTACCCTGGGAAGTTTGAGGTCTTTGGAGAAACCTTAACTGGTAGAGTAGAGGAGAATGTAATTCTGGAAAGTATTGACCAGTGAAGGGAACTGATGTGAAATAGGTATTATTTTGAGCTGCTGAGTTTCTGCCAATTCGCATATTCACTTTGTGCCTTGGTCTGTCTTTTATTTAAGACACACATACGGAAACTGCTGTGTAAGCTCATCCTGTCCCTGATTTCCAAAGTTTCCTCTAGTCCTACTCTTGATTTGGATTTCCAGGCCCAGATTTTTCTTTTTTTTTTTTAAAGCTTCTCAAAATTATTTTTTATTTTATTTTTCCCAATTATTTTTATTAGTTGGCTAATTACTTTACAATATTGTAGTGGTTTTTTCCATACATTGACATGAATCAGCCATGGATTTACATGTGTTCCCCATCCTGAACCCCCCTCCCACCTCCCTCCCCTTCCCATCCCTCTGGGTCATCCCAGTGCACCAGCCCTGAGCACCTGTCTCATACATCCAACCTGGACTGGCGATCTGTTTCACACTTGATAATATACATGTTTTGATGCTGTTCTCTCAGGTCATCCCACCCTTACCTTCTCCCATAGGGTCCGTAAGTCTGTTCTATACATATGTGTCTCTTTTTCTGTCTTGCATATAGGGTTGTCGTACCATCTTTCTAAATTCCATATATATGTGTTAGTATACTGTATTGGCTTATACTTTCTGGCTTACTTCACTCTTACTTCACTCTGGGCTCCAGTTTCATCCACCTCATTAGAACTGATTCAAATGAATTCTTTTTAATGGCTGAGTAATATTCCATTGTGTATATGTACCACAGTTTTCTTATCCATTCATCTGTTGATGGGCATCTAGGTTGCTTCCATGTCCTGGCTATTATAAACAGTGCTGCGATGAACATTGGGGTGCATGTGTCTCTTTCAGATCTGGTTTCCTCAGTATGTATGCCCAGGAATGGGATTGCTGGGTCATATGGCAGTTCTATTTCCAGTTTTTTAAGGAATCTCCACACTGTTCTCCATAGTGGCCGTACTAGTTTGCATTCCCACCAAATGTAAGAGGGTTCCCTTTTCTCCACACCCTCTCCAGTATTTATTGCTTGTAGACTTTTGGGTAGCAGCCATTCTGACTGGTGTGGAATGGTACCTCATTGAGGTTTTAATTTGCATTTCTCTGATAATGAGTGATGTTGAGCATCTTCTCATGTGTTTGTTAGCCATCTGTATGTCGTCTTTGGAGAAATGTCTGTTTAGATCTTTGGCCCATTTTTCAGACCCAGATTTTTCACCAATTCCTGTATGATTGCATCTGCCTGTCTTGCTACCATCTCAGATCCAACATGCTCAAACCCAGGTCTGCACTTTAGAAAGCCTTTGTTTCTAAAGCTTATATTTTTATCAAGATGGGGGTTTGGATCATGTTATCTCCACCAACGTGGAAGGCGATTCAGGAACTGGAAAGTGAATGGAAATGATTCTGTATTAAATGTCAAATCTAGAAGTTCTATCAATTAGAGAATTTTTAGAAGACTGGTATTTTATGCTTTTTGTTTAATGTAGGTTTTTTTTAAATTGCAGGGCTCACAGGAAAGTCCCTGCCTAGCAGTTCCAACTTGTTGTTCAGTCACTCAGTCGTGTCTGACTCTTCACGACCACATGGACTGTAGCATGCCTGTCCTTCACTATCTCCACCAGAGTTTGCTCAAACTCATATCTATTGAGTCAATAATGCCATCCAACCATTTCATCCTCTGTCATCCCCTTCTCTTCATGCCCTCAGTCTTTCTCAGCATTGGGGTCTTTTCCAGTTAGTCAGCTCTTCACATCAGGTGGTCAAAGTATTGGCACTTCAGCATCAATCCTTCCAATAAATTTTCAGGGTTGATTTCCTTTAGGATTGACTAGTTTGATCACCGTGCTGTCCAAGGGACTAAGAGTCTTTTCCAGCACTACAGTTTGAAAGTATCAATTCTTCAGCACTTAGCTTTTTAATACTGTCTAGGTTTGTCATAGCTTTTCTTCCAAGGAGCAAGTGTCTTTTAATTGTAGGCTACAGTCAACATCTGCAGTGATTTTGGAGCCAAAGAAAAAGTCAGTCACTGTTTCTATTTTTAACCTATTTGCCATGAAGTGATGGGACTGGATGTCATATCTTGGTTTTTTGAACGTTGAGTTTTAAACCAGCTTTTTCACTCTCACCCTCATCAAAAGACTCTTTAGTTCTTCACTTTCTGCTATTAGGGTGATGTTATCTACATATCTGAGGTTTTTGATATTTCTCCCTGCAATCCTGATTCCTGCTTGTGATACATCCAGCCCAGCATTTCGCATGATTTACTCTGCATATAAGTTAAATAAGGGTGACAATATACAGTCTTGACTTACTCCTTTCCCAATTTGGAACCAGTCCATTGTTCCACGTCTGGTTCTAACTATTGCTTCTTGTAGTAGTGTAGTGTTAATCGCTCAGTCGTGTCTCACTCTGCCACCCTATGGACTGTAGTCTGCCAGGCTCATCTGTTCAGTCCATGGAATTCTCCAGGCAGGAATACAAGAGTGGGTTGCCATTTCTGTCTCCAGTGGATCTTTCCCACTGGGGGATTGATACCAGGTCTCCTGCATTGAAGGCGGATTCTTCACCGTCTGAGCTACAGGGAATCCCATAAAGGTTTTTCAGGAGGCAGGTAAGGTGGTCTGGTGTTCCCATCTCTTAAGAATTTTCCACAATCTGTTGTGATCCCCAAATTTAAACCACATGAGATTGCCAAATGCTGATGTTATGCTGTTTTTTACTGGAAAAAAGGCAAAAAGAAAGCAGTGCTAGGTTCAACCTGATATGAACGTTTACATTGTTGCATAAACTGAGCTGGGACATTGAGGGAAAGGTAGGAATGAGGTTTTCAGAGTAAGGGGAGGAAGGCCGGGGCTGAGAGAATTTGTGGAAGGAGATTCCGGTGCTAGGACACTCACCGCCTCAATGCTGGCTGTCCCCAGCTTTGGCCACGCCCCCATTTCGCAACGGCCGTAAAGTGTGTCGTCGTGGCCCCGCCTCTTCCGGCGCCTCTTGTGACGCTAGAGCCTCGGGCTTTTTGCGCGGGAAAAGGTAGGCGCTCTTGAGCTCTACTCAGTGTAGCTGGGGTCAGGTGTTTTCGCTGAGGCCGCTGTCCCCTTCGCACCGCTGCCTGCCATGGGGCTTCTAGAACTGTGCGAAGAACTGTTCGGCACCGTCGACCTTTACCAAGTATTGGGCGTGCGGCGCGAGGCCTCAGACAGCGAGGTCCGACGCGGCTATCACAAGGTGTCCCTGCAGGTGCACCCGGATCGGGTGGGCGAGGGCGACAAGGAGGACGCCACTCGCCGCTTCCAGGTGCGCTCGCTAGACTCTACCCACCGGCCGCCCGGGCTTCCCTCCGTCTTATGACCGCCCGGCCTCTCCCGGGGTGGAGTGAGCAGAACCCGGCCTGGCGTCTTCTAATCTTTTATTTCTCGCGGCGCGGTTTCAGTGAGAGGCGGAGGGGTGATTTTAGTGTACTCTTTCCCGCAGATCCTTGGGAAGGTCTACTCCGTTCTGAGTGACAAAGAACAGAGAACATTATACGATGAACAGGGAACAGTGGACGAGGATTCTGATGTGCTCAGCCAAGACCGGGACTGGGAGGCCTATTGGAGATTACTCTTTAAAAAGGTAAGGAACTCTGGAGATTTTCTTGTGACCATTCCCATTTCTCATTCAACAAACCTTTATTGAATGCCTCTAAGGCCTTGCGTTTTGTGTTGTTAAGAGTGAGGATTTTTTATTTGGTCTCTATAAATATTAATAAACGCACACACAACACAGACATTCCTTAGGAGAGACCCACTTCTTTGAAGAAGGGCGAATTTATCTAACCGTTCTGTTGAACCGTGTGTATATGTGTGTTATAACACATGCACGTACATACATAGATAACACTTAATGAAATGGGCCTTTAACTATCTGTTGGTGTAGAGTGTAGTGATAGGGGGACATTAAATTTTTTTATATGTGCTTTATTTTACAAAGCCAGGTGCAAGCCCTGAGTATTTTTCTGGGTCTCTTCCCACCTTTGGAAACTCACTTAAATTTTCCTGGTGTGTAGCTTAGCAGTTCTAAAGATTGGACTAGGGAGAACTCTAGAAAATCTTTAGCATAGAAAATTTGCTTCCTTGCAACACTTTCAACTCGAGCAGCTGTTGTATTTGGAGAGAAATATTTTGACACCCGAGTTAACTTTTTTCTTGTATTCCTACTATTTAAACTTTTCAAAGTTACAGCATGTGTCTCTCTCTCATTTGTTCAGATATCTCTGGAAGACATTCAGGCTTTTGAGAAGACATACAAAGGTTCTGAAGAAGAGCTGACTGATATTAAACAGGCCTATCTGGACTTCAAGGGTGACATGGATCAGATCATGGAGTCTGTGCTGTGTGTGCAGTACACAGAGGAACCCAGGATAAGGCACATTATTCAACAGGCCATTGATGCTGGAGAGGTACCGTCCTATAATGCCTTTGTCAAAGAATCCAAGCAGAAGATGAATGCAAGGAAAAGGAGGGTAAGGTTTTGAATGCCACTTACTATTTATATCTTGACTACTTCCCAAAGGAATTTGAGGATATTTATAACAACGAAAATATATATAAGACTGCTGAAATAAAGATAAGGCTTAACTTCTTTTCTAGTTGCCATCTAACTAAAAGAGCATAATGAGCTCATTAAGAGAAACTTTTTTCCCCTACTCTGTTGTGCTCAAAAGGATTTTACTGCATGGATTAGATAATCAGTATCATTTGAAAGTAGCACTGAAATATTCTTCATATGGGCCAATTCTTTTAACCTTGCTGAGGCATTCTAAGGCAATAAAGTAACAGAATCCGGATACCTAGGCTCCATAGTGATTCTCACTTGGTTAAGAGGTGAGGAGGTGACAAAGACTGTAGGACTATGTCTTATTAATTCAAATTTCTGTATTCTTGCCCAGTTTGATGGCAACCCACTCCAGTACTCTTGCCTGGAAAATCCCATGGAGGAGCCTAGTAGGCTACAGTCCACGGGGTCGCAAAGAGTCGGAGACGACTGAATGACTTCACTTACTTCGATTCTTGAGTCGGACCCAGAATATAATTAAAAAAAACAAAAACACATGGGGAGATGGGGTGAAAAAAAAAAAGCAACTAAAGCAACTAAAAACCAGTTTATTTTGATAATGGTGTATTTCCAAGCACCCTTTGAGGTACACTTTTGTAGAGTATTAAGGATTGTGGTTTGTGTCCTTTTCACCCATATTAAACTGTGGGGTTGGTGAGGGTAAGGATGATGGCAAGGGAAAGGAGCTTAAGGACATGTGGGGTTCAGGAGGGAGCAGATTCAAGGTAACAAATATCTGTGCCTCTGGTCTTTAGGGGAAGACCAGACTGGTATTAAAGTCACTCTTGCCTCAACCTGGCTTTCATAATGGGCACTCTAGGGAGAGCAGACAGTGTAAGACTGTAGCTCTTTGGTGGGTACTTTATTTTGTATGGCTGAATTGGAGGTGGAGTTAGGTCTGTGGCTTTTATGTAAAAAGATGCAGGAGAAACCTGACACGTGTGTTGAGAGAAGTGGAATGTGTATCAAGATCACCACTTTGGCTTATAGGCTCCATCTGTCTAGATTTCAAGCTGACAGTTTAAGTTGGCAACTTTTTTTAGGTGAAACAGCACAGCTGTGTTCAGTAATAGCCTATTAGCTTGAGAAACTTTCCTGGAGTTTGGGGGGTGGAGTGGGGAATGGAATAGTTTTGACAGAGAATTCTGCAAACTTAGAGAAAAAACAGTACTAAAAGAAATAAATTGATTTCAAGGACTGTTTCAGGGGAAACTTTATTGGAGTAACAAGGTCCTAACATATCATTCTCAGTATTAATAGTATTCATTGCTATTTAGAAAATTCTCTGGGGATTGGGACCTCTCATAGTCTTAGTTGTCGCCCTGGAGAATGAACTTACTAACCTTTCCCAAGGTATTCTTGTAGTAGTTTGGAATCAGTGCCCTAGTAAAATTTGGCAAGAGGAGGTGGCTTTGAAATCTGGTAAAGAAACGTTAAAACGGAATTTGTTAGAGTTTATCCTAACTACTCAGGGGAAATTTTAAACCAGGGTTGTGCTCTTGGCTACCACAAGTCACATGTAGTAAATTTGGTTTCCAGAGGAGGAATCTGAGGTGCCTGTGTCCTGGCAAGATTTTGAGGGTATCCTTGGTTAAGTGACCTTTCTTAGCTCTTCTAGCATTTTGTTTTCCTTTCTGTCCCCCTATGGTTTATGGAACCAGATGACCTGCTTACCCCTAGCAAATACAAATGGGGAACACTCTCAAATGCTTATTGGAATCAGAGGATCTACTGCTTGATTTTATCCTTTTAATTTATATAATCCTCAAATTGAAATGGTCTTAACAGATTTGCTTTTGGAAAAGAGGCTGTATTTTTAGTATTTGCTAGGTTGGTGTTGTATCTCACATGAGTTTCTCTTTTAGGCTGAGGAAGAGGCTAAAGAAGCAGAAATGAGCAGGAAGGAGTTGGGGCTTGATGAAGGAGTGGATAACTTGAAAGCAGCCATTCAGGTAAACTGTCAGGTTGTCTATGAAGCTTACCGCCATTTCTTTCACATTCTGCTTCTTACTGCTAATATTCTTTGGAGTGTATATAGTATTATAGGCATTTTGTTTTCATCTTTTAAGACATTCAGGTACCATACAGTCACCCTTTTAAAATGTACAATTCAGTGGTTTTTTAGTATATTGATCAGGTTTTACAATCATCAGCACTATCTAATTCCAGATCATCATCACTCTAAACACAAACCCCTTATCCACTAGCAGTCACTCCTCATTCTCCCTTTCCACCAGCCCCTGGCAACTGCTAAATACTTTATTTCTGTGGACAGTCTTGAGTTTTGAAAGCTTGTGTTTTAACTTCTTAAACAGAGCAGACAAAAGGATCGGCAAAAGGAAATGGACAATTTTCTGGCTCAGATGGAAGCAAAGTACTGCAAACCTTCCAAACGAGGAGGGAAAAAAACGACTTTCAAGAAAGAAAAGAAATAATGGAATATTCTCTTCAAAAGTCCATAGGTGTTACCTGATGCCTTTGTAGGCAAGGTACAGTCAAGATTTGAAGACAAAGGTCAACTCAACTCTTGAGAAATGTTGTCTTTCAAGCCTAAATTATTTGGATCAACTATCTAAACCAAGTAGACTCTCTCAGCCTGGTCTTAGCATATCCTAGAAATACGCTGACATTCTCTGAGGTCCTCCTATGGAGTTTGGTGGTGATCACTGAGGGAGTGGGAGGGTGAATGCTTCCTTGAGAGCACTTTTCCGTGTGTCTTCTGAATAAGGAACTGTATCTAGAATGCAGATCTGTCCCTACCACTTTTAGCAATTGTTATTTTGCCATATAGGAATGAGCTTCAGGGTATTCAGTGGTGTGTGTTTTTTAGGACATGTACTCTACCTAGCCTTCAACACTTGCTGGACATCTATTTCCCAAATACTTGCCAGTTTGCTTTCAGTCTTAATGTTCTTGCATACGCCCTCTCTTTTTTATTTTTCCTACTCAACTAAGTTTGGCACTCTTTGCTTGAGGTATATAGGAGAAACAGGTGTTCAGATTACTTCAAGCACTTTTGTAAGAATTGTACAAGATTAAATAATCAAGTGAAAGATGACTGTTAAGTTCCCGGGACTTTTTAAGTGATCCCAATATGGTCATTTAAAAGATGATTTATTAAATATATGAATGGTGCTTAGGATAAAAAAAGAGAGAAGAAAAGTAGTCCTAGCCAGCATTGTAGCAGATAGCCTGGTTTAAGTTGCATAAAGAGATGCTGTAATCCTCTCTGTAACTGCTGAATGTCCTTAGAGTCAGGTTACTGAGCTTGTCAGAACTTGTTTCCTCATCTGTAAAAGGGTGAGGAAGCTAGGCTAAATGACTTGTTAACTCTGACCTTGAAAGGCAAGCTGTCTTGATCCAGTGGTTTGTTATCATGTACTAATGGTATTGATTTGTGAGAACAGTACAGAGATTTTCATTTATATTTAGTAGAATTGGTATGAGTTTATTAGAATATATGAAAATTTTTTAGAGACTGTTCAACTTAAAGTCTCTGATTTGTAAGTTAATATATTCAATATCATATGCATAAAACAAGCCTTCTATTACTGAGAGTCATGTACATAATTTATCTGAGGTAAGCATAAGACACGTTTTCAGTTTGGATTACAAATAGATTAAAAAATACTCTTTTAATTGTATTAAAAATACAGTTTAATGTAGGTTGTTTGCTGTACCTGTCTTCATATGATAGTATTAGAACACTTTGAAATAATAAATCCCAAGTTATGATCATTTAAATTTATCAACTCTGAAGATTAATAGAAGATCTAAAACCAGTATGATCATCAGAATTAAAATTCAATGAAAGTTAAATAAGTTTAAGCCATAGTTAAAACCATTGATGCATTCATGAGTGCACTCGGGAAAGGTCCATGTGAAAATCAGAAGAATGTCAAAGTTCTCTTCCTTTGCTTTTAGCATATGTTTATACTAGACAGAACTGCAGGGTTTCGGGAATTTTAAGAAGTTGTGTCTTGCTGGCTCACTAATAGATTCTATAAATTTTTAAATCGCTTTTCTAATAGACCTGAAGGAGAAAATCTGGCAAGGCAGGTGTGATATTTGGGTGTGGGGGAGTAAATGACCACTAAAGTACTTTGAGAAGAAAACAAGTATAACCTGATGTCAGGCAGCTGTTGTAAGGCTTAATTGTCCTACCTGGGGGAAAAAAAAATCCATTATTTATTACATGGATTACTTTATACCAGTGCTCAACATTTATGTCTTTAGTTATTCATCCCTGCCATATATATCTGCCTATGGATTTGGACATCTAAGAGAAAACTTTAGTAATCACATCTGTTTGATGTGATTTTTTTTTACAGAACTGTCTCCTAAAAATGACTTAAAAGTGAGTATACCTCTCCAGAAATTAACACAAGCAGAAGTATTCCAAAGCCAGTAATAATGTTTTCAAACAATTTGCTACGTTTTGTGTACATGTAGTCTGATAGAATGGAGAAGGAAATGGCAACCCACTCCAGTACTCTTGCCTGGAGAATCCCAGGGATGGCGGAGCCTGGTGGGCTGCCATCTATGGGGTTGCACAGAGTCGGATACGACTGAAGCGACTTAGCAACAGCAGCAGCAGTCTGATAGAATGCAGTAGTAACTGAACTGATCGTTGTTAACAGACAACATGAGCAGTGGTTTGGAGGAAATTATTCATTTGTTACATCTTTGGCTACAAACTTTACTGTCCAGTGAAATGATTAACTTATGCTGAACAGAAGACAGTAATTGGAGATAGAAACAGTACCCATGTAATCTTTGGCTGATACTGTTTTCAGTCTGTTGTACCAAAATAATTCACAAAGATGGTTTCAGGTTGTCTCTTGTATACAAGGTCTGCATCATGAGATGACTGAACATTGATTTGTGAAATCTTCCCATGTGTTCCCTGCAGCCCGAAGCAAGTTCTCCTCATTCGTGCTATTGTCCCTGCCTGGTTCTAGAGGTTGGTCCACTTCTGTTTTGAGATTTTGTAGATCCATGTAACTGAGGACCTGAGAGACAAAGATGACATCATAGAGTGACATGAATAGACATTCTAGATTTGATCGTCTTGAGCTCCTATGTACAGACATTTTTTGCTCCAATTATTAGTTAGACTTTAAATTTGGAGACTATGGCTAAGGAGTAAAGTTTATATTTACTAAGGCAATAAAAATCATGTTTGTATGTTTTATCATGTAAAAACAAAGTATGTAAGATGTGATATAGTAACCTAACTTTAGAAAATAGTCACTAATTAAAAAGGAATAAAATGTTTCACTTACATAAACATTATACTAGTTATCCCTGACCATGAGCATGGCTACATGTAGGAACTGTAGCTCAGAGGCGGTAGTGCTTCCCCGAGGCCTGATCCAAGAACAGAGGCTGCTGACAGCATTCAAAGACTACCAAATATTGCTACTAGGAACCTGAACTAAGAGAATTCACTTGAACTACAGAGATGATTTCAGGCAGATTACTCTTTAACATACTTGCTGATTGATCTGATTATTAACAGGAAACATTTCAACTGCCTGCTAATTCTAAATTTCACCTATAACATAAGGAAAAAATGACCCTGATGGCGAGAAGACCATTATAGGAAGAATTAAGACATTCTTAAATTTTCTCCTATCACTCCTGTGAAAATAGAAACTATAGAATATAACTTAGAAGACAAAAAAGTTAATGGGATAGAATCCAACTCCTCATGTCTTGACACTGTGAATTTCTTTTCTTACCTTGGCCTAGCAGTTTAATGGATTAGAGCAGTTTAATCCATGGCAATATAGGTTTTTGCCTACATAATAAAATCCATGCAGTGTTTGAATGTTATGAAAATGATTTGTTTGGCTTAATTTGTTGATATTTTTTTTAAAAAGTATTGTTTACTCTGCCAGAGTGGCAAGAGGTTAATTTATATATGAGAAAACAGATCTGGAACTTTTTGGCTTTGAGCAGTTAAGAGTTCTCCTCTTATTTTTCTTTTTATTACTATATCCCATATTCCAAAATGAATTTGAGATGATTTACAAAGATGTAGGAAAGCAAAATATAAAATCTGGAGGAAGGAAAAATAATAAGCATGGGAAAAAAGCAAGATCTTAACAAGACTGTAGTAAAATAAGAGCCATGACCCCACCTGTCCCTGCAGATCCCCTACCAGGTCGGGCCTGGTGAGGATACTCAGCAGCACACGAACGACGATACTGCGAATCTGGCTGAAAAAGAGAAGATGAGGCACTGCTTACAGTGTGACTTCTTCCAGAGGATAATGTGTTAGTCGTCTTACAAGGGAAAGCCCTGAAGTCGGACAGCACTGTAATTGGCATCATCGGTCAGTCTGAGGGACAGTTGGCTGAATACACTTAACACTCCAAGTTAAAAATCCCAAGCCAGCAGCCCACAGAGTGACTGTTAACTTGTAAAAATTGCAAGTTCTGCAACTTTATTGATATGTCTTTAAGAAAATCAGCATTTATAAATAATCTATATGGTTTAATATTTCTAAGTACTCATAATTGGCTCTCAAGGGAATTTGAATCTGATTTCCATTGCCTGCTGACTTTTTTTTCCCCATTTATTTTTATTCGTTGGAGGCTAATTACTTTACAGTATTGTAGTGGTTTTTGCCATACATTGACATGAATCAGCCATGGATTTATGTGTTCCCCATCCTGATCCCCCCTCCCCTGCTGACTGTTTAAAACAACAGAACAGAACCTTTTCAACAACACCGACAACCTCCATGCTTAAAATGTGACTCTTAATATGGAACTCAACATTTCAAAATTGCTTTAAGGGATTTAAATATTTTAAGATACAACTAAAATGTCCATATGCAGATACTAAAAAAAGAGCTATCAATGCCATTTTGCTGGTACTTCTGGAATAAAAAACATCCCCTCAGTTTCTTGTCAGCATTGGAATAAGAGATTTGAGGGTTTTTTCCCCCTCTCCTGATGAAGCCCCATGTTTTCTATCAGTGGTCAGCAAACCTCTTTTCTTTTTTTTTTTTAAACAGAGGACCAGATAGTAAACATTTCAGGTTTTGTGGAATATACTGTCACTGCAACTACCCTGTTCTGCTGTTAAGACTAGGAAAGCAGCCACAGAAAGTACAAAATTGAATGAATGTGGTGGCTCTCCTCTAAGAAAACTCTGTTCACAAAAACAGGCAGTTAAGCTGAACAGCTCATGGACTAGGATAGAGGCAAGAAAAGATTCTTCCCTAGAGCCTGCAGTGGGAACATAGCTCTGCTGATACCTTGATTTTGGACTTTCAACAGACTCTGGAACTGAGAGAATATATTGTTTTAAGCCACCCAGTTTGTGGTAATTTGTTATGGCAGCCCAAGGAAACTAGTACAAACTAGTCCCATTCATTTATTCTCACCACTCTTCTAATGGAGGAAAGATCATATGGTGCTTT